GCTCTGAATCTTACAGGCTGCTTCCAGATGCTTGCTTATCTCTCGGACCGTACGCTCAGCATGTCGATGGTCTAATCTGCCATCGATCGCTCTGCAAAAGACGTACATATTTAAGGATTGCATGAAATATTCCACTGCGATTACTCATCTCGCTAATACAGATCTGCTTAAGTGACGCGGTCCGCTACTGATCGGACATTTCAGTGAACAAGTAGGTAGTTGGAGAACTGCAACGCTAAATCCACCTACCTTCTATCCATTAGCATTCGGCACCTGTCCCGGAGGTTATCCAACACATGAAGACAACATTCGTAGCTGGTGCTAGCTCTTCCCTCCAGTTCACTCGGCTGCTTCTTGCCCTTCTGCTCAATGACAATGAAAATCACATCATCGAATCATTAAGCAACTTCGGCATTTCCTAGAAGCAGCAAGTAATAATATTATCTGTTACATTCTGACCAATTCCTTAAAAATTGATGATCCGTAAGATGTAAACAATGGCTTAACCGACACTTATGCATGTGCCCAGGTGTGCCAAACTGTGTTTTTGGCACACTGTGTGGAGTGACCCTTGAAAAAGACTGAACATCATTGAAGTTAATTTTTAGTTGGTTATTTTCAAATCATTACTTTGTGATGTTACATCTACATCTGTAAGATCTTCTTTAAACTTATTCTCTCTTTCATCGCGGCAGTGAAACGAGAAACAAAATACTCATAGCTAGAGTGAAGACGATCGATCAATGATGCGCAGCGTATGATTGAAAATACGTCCGACCGAAAGGAACACTTATCACAGTGAATCATGGTCTAAATAAAACCCCAATTCACTAACAAAACTGTTTGGTTGTTTAGTGTCTGATGGCACGGTTCTTTACCATTAGGGTATGCAAGCACGAAAGCCTCTTGGGGTCAATGTGATGTAAATAGGTACGGATAGGTAGAATAAAAAATAACCGAAGTAAGTCGAAACAACATTGGAGGAAGGCTTAAAATCTTCCGGGGGAAGTAATAAGACAATTCCAGATGATGCTTCCGGAAGAAGTCCGGAGAAATTTGATGCATCCATAGGAACTTTAAAAAGAAATGCGCCGATAAGGACTTCTGGGGCAAGTAGAATCCAGAAGAAACTTTTGGGAGGAATCGGAATAATCTTCCGGGGGAAGTCCAATGGAAATTGAAAGAAACTTACTAGAGAAAGTCGGAAGACACTTCCGGCGGAAGCCATAAAGACTTCCCAGGTGTGACAGATGTAACGAAACCAATTGTATAGTCGTGAAGGGGGGTATTTGACGGAGAGTTTATTCTAAACGATGATTTATTAATCTGTTTTATTAACATCCCTTTTTTATTTATATAGGCTAAATTATGGCTTCGGCACCCATTGACTATTTTCGGCAACCGAAATTGAAACGTTAATTTCACTGTATTTTCCCATAAAAACTCTTCGCTGAATGTATTAAGCCGATTCCTTACCTTTTCAGCTTCAATCTGATTACATTTTGAAGACTGTGCAATCCTGTTATGCCATATGTTTCTTTAAATTAAATATACACACTACAAAATACGGCTGATTTCGAGTTGCCGATAATAGAACAGCTGGTTAACACGCAGTTCAAATGGAAAGGGTGCCGAAGAAAAAGAGACTGCCGACAATAGTCACACTCACCTGAGAAGTTTGGAGCGTTGTAAAAACATATTCAACCCGTTTTGATCAATTCTGTCGATTGGAATTGGTAGAACAGCAAGCAGCAGATAAATGTCAACAAATAAATCTGTCATGTATGTGTGTGACGCTGAGAAATCGCTAATAAAAGTTCGGACGCTGCTTAGATTGACGAGAATACGTAAATTCCCCTACGTATACAGTAGACTGATGCAAAATTTGAAATTTTCGCTCCACAGTGTTTCAAATCAGGTCTTGAAAAGCCTCCGAAAGTTTAAACTCATTTGATAAGAAACTGACTTGGCATAAACCATTTGAATTTTATATGGAAATTACTAAGGGAAAACAAAACTTTTTGTTCATTGTCTTTTAGCCTATTTACATATTGTACTGTTAAAAAATTCTATTGCTATTATTATGGAAATTTTTATCAGCTACAACTTTGTAGAAAATCGTTTTTCAGCCAAACGTCAAATTAAATAGTTATTAATTGTTTAAGAGATTGATAATCTTATGGCAAGATTAAGCAACTGTATTGTGGGCAACACTGTATTCTGCAGTGTGACATAGAAGCCATGATTTTTGTCCTCTATTTTTAGCGCCATAAACACCAATGTTGCCTGCTGAACAGTTGATTGAGCATAATCATAAGACGTCAGTGACTTGAATCATTAATAACTTTTGTTCCTTAAATTTGATCGAAAACTGGTTTTGAACAAAGTTGTAGCTGAGAAAATTTTCAATAAGCTCAGTTATCATTTTATAAAGTAGAGTGAACTGGTGCATTTTAAGATAGATATGAACCTAAATTATGGTTTTTCCATAGTAATTCCCATATAAACTTTAAATGGTTTGTGCCAAGTCAGTTTCTCACTAAATGAGTTCAAATTTTGGGAGGCTAATCAGGGCCCAATTTGGAACCGTTTGAGCTCTGTGGGGCGAAAATTTCAAATTTCTAGTATACAGGTAAATCCCTGGCGGTAGGTAAATATTCTTTAATAATTTACCTCCAGAAATCTACCCATGTTTCTCCTACAACTGTGCGAGGTAGTTCTTTAGGAGTATTGGTGGTAATTCATCGCACAGATGAAACTTTCGGGAAAATTCCGTGGAATCTTCAGGGCAAACTCAGAATTATTTTCAGAAGGAAGTTAAGAAAAAGCTTTTAGGAGAAGTCGGAAAATTCTTTTGAAGGTAGCCAAAGTACTAAAAAGAAGTGGCTAAACCTACAAACGGCTGGTATTACCTGCATCTGGTCACTGGAAATCATCATTGCGAACAGTCAAACTGGGGATGTGATGCTTACACGAGCTTGTGTCAGCTCTCAACTTAGTGTTCTTTGAAGCACTTCCAAAGTTATTAGTTATTAATACTGTTGATCAGTTTTGAGATGGCTTTCTATCAGTGATTTAAAGGTGATTCCTTGCAGCGTTAACAAATGGCCGCCATGATGGCTGATATGCCCTATCACTTCAAGTTTTCTAGATCACAAATTTCGATCACTGTTGCGACTTCGCTCATACTATTTGGACTCCCTTTTTACTGCACTGCAGTGAGGTCGTTCGCAATGTTGTTGTATTTTATAGGGACAGTTTAAATTTGAAACTAGAACAGAGGCGAATCCCCGCAATGATGAGTTGCAGTTTCATTATTCGAGCACTATGTTGCACTTGATTTGCAAATGCTCGTCTATTCGGTTTTATTTCTGAGCGGGTTTTAAACATGAATGGAACACTGTTTAAAATTTCTTTGCATGTATTTATTGATGTTTCTCGTAAAAGTTCAGAGAGCTTCGTACAAGTTGAGAAGATTCAATAGAAATTTGGGAATTTTTCAGAAATTTTGGGAACTTCTGAGAAGTTTGAGAATATTTTATAGAAGTTCGGCGAACTTCATTTACAAAACGAAGAGCTTCACACAAAAGCTGCATGGAAATTGTGTTATAAAAAAGTGTCAGGAAGTATGAAGTTTAGGTAATTTCAAAGAAGTGAGAGGTATTTCAATAAAAACCGGGAACATCTAGTAGATCGATGACAAGAAAATCTAAAAAGAAAAAAAAAATCGAACGAAAAGTAAAGAAAAAAAGAGAATTCTCATTGAAACCAGGCCGTCATTCTAGCAATTCTCGACCTATTTATTATGTAAAATCTTTGAAACTTCATATGCAACTTATGCAAACAACACGTTGTTACGAAGAGGAAGGATAGGGCTTTCATTTGGAATGAATTTTTTTTGGCGGCCATCTTCAATTTGACTGCCATATTGGATTTCAACACTTCACTATGTTCGCAACCATAGATTTTGATTCAGAGGTCACCATCTGAAAGCTGGTGAAAAAATGCTATCAGATCCTTTCAACAGATTAGGTAAGCCAGGACATTAACACAATGAAACAACAATTTTTATATAACGAGGTTTACAATTTTCCACGCATGACGCACCATCAACGTCAAAACAGCGGCGTTATTTTCGGAAATATTTTCAAATATCTCAAAATATCAACGATTAATTGAAACATATTCTAAAACTAATGCATGTTGAAGAGAGAACTATTTATGTTGAACAATGTTTGTTCTATAGATATATTTGCTTTCTAGTATATCCCAAGTAAAGCTAAATACCTCCTAATATTTTGATACATTCAATCAAGTTGTCCCACCCCCAGGTGACCCATACATGAGGTACAATATCTGACTCATTTGACTTGAAACCTTTTTCTCTTGATCATCAGTCATAACAATTAAAGCAGCTCCAGCCCCAAGACTTACATAAATGAAGCAATCCATTATTTATTTCACCTACGTTTCAGAGCATTCTGCACCCTAGAAATAACCAATCATTATCGATAGAATCTGACCTCATTGGTTTAGTAGATTGAAATGGAGAAATATTGTACTAAGGTTTACGACTCTCGAGAATGGCTAGCTATTATCGTGTGTTAGAACTCATCCAGGAAATGCTTTGGAAGCCTAAATTAGTCAGACCTTCACAAATTGTGACATAAGATCGAACGATTTCCTTGATGTGCATTCAACTTATCGGTAATTCAATTCACGTGCCGTCCATTGAGATTCGTCTTTGACCAATATCAATCCAATCAATATGCAGCACGCGCAGGTTTCGATCATACGGCTTGGTTAATCGATGGAGTACTCTCCCCGTTCATATCGAATGTCAGTCGTACCGGTAGATGCTATCATTCCTATGTCCTATGGCACGTTCTACCGTCAGTTCAAAAGAAATTTACTGATTCATCGTTATGGTGTTGACATCCAATCAGAACTGCCACTCTTTTGCTTTTCGATAATCTCACTCAATGTTATCTCAATTACAGCATCCTCCATCCAGGTGTGCAGGCGCAGTAATCCCGAGATAAACAAATGCATCGTCGATTCGGTGAATGCTCTGCGGCCACTTTTGGCGTCGGGAAAAATTTCCGATGACTTCTCGATCCCACCGCTGGAACCTCTGGCCCTGGCCACCGTCAACATGGACCGTGGATCGGAATTCAAGGCGACGTTCAGCGATCTGTTGGTCAGTGGACCCAGTCAGTTCCAAATAGATAATCTCAAGTAAGTTAACGCTTATTCAACCATGTGCCAACACTTAACACGATCGCATCTCACATTACAGAGTCAACCTTGAAAAAATGACATTTGACTTCAACATCTATCTGCCGAAGCTTTCCTTCCGCGGAAAGTACGACCTCAAGATCAAGTTGTTGCTGCTCAACATTGCCGGTATCGGTGATCTGAAGGGAGTCCTAGGTAAGATCGAACAATTAAATACGTCCAAGTCAGTGACTAACAGCCACTTAATCATTCAGAAAACTCTCGTGCACGTGTCAAGCTGTACACCGAACGCTACAACAAGGACGGCCAGCAGTACATGCGCGTGAAGCGGTTGGCCGTCAAGATTCAAATCGAAAAAGGTCAATTCGATATGAAGGATCTGTTCAACGGTGACCCGGTGCTGTCTCAAGTAGGCAACCAATTCATCAACGACAACTCGCGTCTCTTCCTGGACGAACTGACGCCCGGTCTGGAGCGAAGTCTATCGGAAACATTCAAGAGCACGGCCAACGAAATCCTCCAGTTGGCCACCATGGACGACATCTTCCCAGCGTAGAACAGTCTCCCCCCTCTTTTGAATCTCTTTCCCCTCCACCCAGACTCGAAAGGGATGAATGGGAACATGCACCAAATATCGCTCTCATTATGAAACTATGTGCACATTTATTCTAGTGATCCTAGTTAAAGCGTAAGGCGTAAAGGTTTCCATGATTACCTTCGTTAACATGTTACTGCATGGTAGCTTTTAGACGATCCACCAACTATACTACAAATCCTCCTAATACGGTGTTACTAAACTGGAACAATGTTGTCTGTGATGAGTTTGTTTATATGTGTTTTTATAATCAAATCGTAAATTAAAAAAACTAGTTTGTAAGCACGTACAGTAGAGTTTTTTTTTATCCTGGCGAAAGGAAAACAGCCAAGAAGATTACTTCTTAACAAATGATTCATCCAGTATAGAATAAAGATTGAATGAAAAGAACAAAGTCATCATGATACTGCCCGATGGTCTGTCGATTGAAAAGAAACATCCGAAAGTTGACCTTGAAATTTGGAATACACTAATTGACGGCGCCCATCCCGGTTTGCCGTTCCTGTCTGGTGAGAATGGAAATATTGTTTGCATAACCAATTGCGTCCAGCTAAACAAAATTCGATTTCACACAACTGTGTGATGGGGAATGGTGGCGATATTTACTCGCATTTTTTGGTACTTGTTGAGAGCGTTACCACTAAAGTAATGTTGATTGGAAAGAATTATACGATAACTTTTTTTCTGACATCAGTTTGTCAGTCAACAAGGAGGTTTAACAATTCTTTTAACATATTTGAAGATATTTGCAACTATATCCAATTCATGGTTTCGCTTTATAGAGTATCATTGTGCATGCAGCATGCCACCATGTATGGATGTTTGGTAAAGCTATAATCAGCAACTATGAAAGTGTTCAAAGAACAAATAGCAGATGTAGGGATCCAATTGAGATGAAATAAACATGAAGGAGAAGAGAGTGCAAGGGTTGTTTTGAAGAAAGGGACAGCACGCCGAATGAGAACGACCCAAATTTGAGTTTAGTTTACTCATAATCACCAAAAGTGCAGATGAGTAAATTTGACTCTCTTTATAGGAGTAGTAGCATCATAGAGGTAACTCTAAGACCAGAAGGTCCCGAAGAAATGTGCTTAACTCTTTGGGTTAGCTCTGGTACTATCTTCGGTCCCAAGCTAATCGATGCAGCTCTCAAACCATAGGAAAATCCACGAACCCCTCATTTTATCCGTCAAACTTTCATAGCGAATCAAAACAAACATAGTGTAGTACTAGAATTTAGACTACCACGGACCAAATTTTCGCAATTTGGCAGGTTCTGCAGAAATGCCACGATTAAAACGTGCCACACACCATTTGTTCATCGATTTCAAATCCGCATACGACACAATCGATCGAGATCAGCTATGGCAGATTATGCACGAGTACGGATTTCTGGATAAACTGACACGATTGATCAAGGCGACGATGGATCGAGTGATGTGAGTGAGTGAGTGAGTGATGAATCTCGAAGGGGGTTACGGCAAGGTGATGGACTTTCGTGTCTGCTATTCAACATCGCGTTAGAAGGTGTGATCAGAAGAGCTGGGATAGACACGAGTGGCACGATCTTCAGGAAGTCCATCCAGCTTCTTGGCTTCGCCGATAACATTGACATCATGGCACGGAACTTTGAGACGATAGCGGAAACGTACATCAGACTGAAGGCTGAAGCTAGGCGGATTGGACTTGCCATCAACGCATCAAAGACAAAATACATGAAAGGAAGAGGTTATAGGGAAGACAATGTTAGCCTTCCTCGCCGAGTTCAGATTGACGGTGACGAAATCGAGTTGGTCGATGAGTTCGTGTATTTGGGCTCACTGCCCAAGTAACCAAAAGTTCTGATAAAAGGCTATTTATGGCTTAAGCACCTTGGTTGAAGGGGGTCTATAGAATTCTAAGCAGCCTCATTTTTAAGTCGTTATAAGAACTTGAAAGTTCCGGTGCCATAATTGAAGAGCATTCTAAGCAGCCTCTGGCGGAACTTGAACGGAACTTTTAGAAAATAAATTAAAACAGGTTTTTGTCCTCTACACCAATTCTATATTTAGTTCGCACTTTTATGAAAGTTATTTCTAAAGGCAGGTTATAAATGTGTATTGATTTATCAGCATTAGTAGTAGTAATGGAGCTGTTGGAAGAATTAAACCCAGTCCTTCTGCGTGAGGGTCTCAGCACGAACCACTACGTCATCTGAAATATATTAAAGTGAGCTGTTGTCCCGCCTATTGTTAGAGTTTTCTGAGCCAGCTGACTGACTTGAATACGAAACACAACACCTTGATGAATTGAAATTGGTGTTTGCCCGCATGGTATTCCATCACACTTGTGGCGCAGTGGTTAGCAATGGTAGATCACATGCCGAGTACACGGACTCGAATCCAGGTAATCACTTTTGACGTAGAACTACGTCTTTGTCGACTATACTGGGGTGCAAGTCAAAAAATATGTGTGGTGAAGGAGTGTTAGGTTTTGAACGCTTGTAACTTTGTTATTTATAGATGAAATTAAAATCCAAATACGCCAATCGATAGGATATTACATTACGAACCTGTTGAAATAAATATTTTTCCAATTTTTCTGCACGGAAGGCTACAAACTGATGGTCCCGGCCGAAAAACACTTCAACGCAGTTCAGGCCCTCTTGGACAGAATGAAGCTGGAGTACTTCTCCCACGACATCGAGGCCACCAAGCCGCTGAAAGTGGTGCTGCGCGGGCTCCACGACATGGACACCACCACCTTAATGGACGAGATTAAGGCGAACGGCCTCAAGCCGGTCGAAGTCCACAAGATGACCCGCAGCAAGGCCATCAAGTATCGTGACCAGCTCTACCTGGTCCATCTGGAGAAGAACTCCACAACCGTGAAGGATCTCCAGACGACACGCACACTGTTCCACATCGTAGTGAAGTGGGAGCGGTATAAACCCACCCACCGTGGCGTCACTCAGTGCTCGAACTGCCTATTGTTCGGGCACGGCACCAGGAATTGCCGCATGGCCAGCCGCTGCATCAAATGCGGCAAAAACCACAAGATCGACAACTGCGACAGCATCGAGGAAGCCACTCCCACATGCGCCAACTGCGGTGCCGCCCACAAGGCCACGAGTAAGGCCTGTCCGAAGCGGGCCGAATACGCCGAGATCCGGAAGAAGGCCTCGTCCAACAGCCAGCTCGGTCGCAAGAAGGTACCAGAAAACAACGCGCAGAACTTTCCTCCGTTATCACCGGTCCAATCACGGCCAATTCCAGTGTTGCCGCCGCTCCCGCTCAACCAACAGTTGGCTGCCGCTGCAGTACCCGGTCAAGCCTCCGGGCCATCGACGGATCCCCCTGCTCCGGGATTGGCCGGTACAACCGGTGAAGCTACAGACGATTCTCCGCTGTCAACGGATGAGATCGTCACACTGTTGGCCCAGGCCATCATCATCAAGCGCACCTGCGCAACAAGAACACAACAGCTCCAAGCTATCATCTCCTTCGTCGCTAATTATGGACCGTGAACCCATAAAGATTGCCAACTGGAACGCTCGCTCCGTAGGGGCGAAAAACATTGAGCTTGCAGACTTCCTCCGCAAGCACGACATCGACGTGGGCCTTCTCACCGAGACCCACCTCAAGACCGGTGACAGCTTCTGGCTGCCCGACCACAGCATTGTCCGGCTTGATCGCACCAGCTCCAGGGGGGGCGGTGTCGCGGTCATCATCAAGAAAGGCATCAAGTACTGCACCCTACCCCACTACCGCACTTCCATCATCGAGGCCGTCGGCGTTGAGGTGGAAACATCGACCGGAAACGTCCGGTTCATCGTTGTCTACTGCCCCCGGCAATGTACCGTTAGCAATGGTACAGCACAGCAGTTCAAGAACGACCTTGCCATCATAACCCGCACCAATGCCCGCTTCGTAATCGGAGGGGACCTGAACGCCCGGCACGAGTCCTGGTGGAACTACCAGCAGAACCAGAACGGCCGCCTGCTATTCGACCATTCCCAGCATGGTCTCTATTCCGTCTGGTTTCCGGACGAACCAACCTTCACATCACCGACGGGCAACCCATCGACGCTGGACCTGTTCTTGGCAAACACCAGATTAGCCAAGCCGGTTGCCGTCAACGACCTGAGTTCGGACCACCAACCGGTGCTGACCGAGCTGGGCTACAACGTGGCCCCTGCACCGTGCCAGCGGAAGGACTACCATCGAGTCAACTGGGTCCAGTTTCGACGCGTGGTCGACCGCCACATCGACGACAACCCACCGCTCGACACAGTGGATGACATCGACCGGGCCCTGGAGGGTCTCCATCAAGCCATATCCGTGGCTGACGAAGAGTGCGTTCGACGAGTTCCTGTGAGGGGTAAGTTTCAAGCAATTGATTCCCACACCAAACTCTTGATTCGGCTCAGAAATGTTCGTAGACGCCAGTTTCAGCGGACTGGGGATCTGCAGCGTAAATACGAAATGGTCGATCTGAATCGGGAGATCGCTTCCAGAATGGTCTCAATCCGGAACGAGAGTTTCGGGCGGCTCGTTCAGAACCTGGACGACCGTTCCAGACCATTCTGGAAGGTTGCCAAGGTGCTGAAGTCTCACCCCAAGCCCATTCCACCACTTAGAGTCAATGACGAACGGCTTATCACCAACGAAGAGAAGGCCAATGCAATTGGGGAGCACATTGCCCAGTCGCATTTGCTTGGCTCTACAATCCCAAGTCCACTCGAGAACCAGGTTGTGCAGTGCGTCCAGACGTTAGATGCCTCCCCTTGTGCCGTCCCTCCAGAAGAACGGATTACAGAGGAACAAATTTGCTCAGCGCTGAAACACAGTACGAACATGAAGGCTCCCGGGTTTGACGGAATATTCAACCTAGAGTTGAAAAATCTCAGCGCGAGGGTGCACTCGCTGCTGGCTGCCATCCTCAACAGATGCTTGGAGCTGCACTACTTTCCAAGCATCTGGAAGGTGGCAAAAATCATCCCGATCCGCAAACCTGGGAAAGACCCTTCACTACCGTCAAGCTACAGACCGATTAGCCTGCTCTCAGCGCTGAGCAAGCTGTTCGAAAAATTGATCCTCAGCCGACTAAACAAGTTTGTGGAGGAACATGACATTCTTCTTCCGGAACAGTTCGGGTTCCGTAAGGGGCATTCCACCAATCATCAGCTAGTGCGGGTGATGAATAACATCCGGAGTAACAAAGCTGTATCCAAGTCCACAGCCATGGCCTTGTTAGACGTCGAAAAGGCGTTTGACAATGTCTGGCACGACGGACTTATATACAAGCTTTGTAACTCCAACTTTCCACCATACCTTGTGAAAATCACCCGTAACTATCTCCAGCAAAGGTCGTTCAGGGTGTCGTTGAATAGTTCCCTTTCGGGACAATTTCCGATCCCAGCAGG